CAGCAGGGAGTTGTGGTCGGCAGCCATGGGCCGGAGCCCGCAGGTCCCTCTGCAAGCACAAACCAGCACTGCCCTGCTCAGGGGCTGCTCAGGATGAAGGTCCCCCCGTTGTCCCCCCCACAGTGCCCCGAGGGGCAGCAGGGCCAGGGCCCCCCCAGGGCACGTCTGTGCCCCCGTTGTGCTGGGAACCCCCCGAGTGTTCCCGAGCTCCCCCCACATCCCGGGCCCACTGACTCGCAGGTGTCCCAGGTGCCACCCACGGGCCCGGCCAGGGCCAGCAGGACCAGGAGCCACAGCCAAGCCATCGGTGGCAGCGCACGGGGCAGTGCCAGGAGCGAGGGGGTCCTCACGGTGCCCCCAGGCCAGGGCTGATGTCACAGAGGGGCCGGTTCCATGTGCTGGGCATGTGGGATGGGGGAGAGGAGCAGCATCGAGTCATAGAACCATGGAATGGTTTGGGCTGGAATGGACCTCAGTGACCACCCAGTGCCACCCCCAGTGCCACCCCTGCCACAGGCGGGGACACCTTCCACCAGACCAGGTGGCTCCAACCTGGCCTTGAACTGATGGCACCTCATTACAGTGGTGGCACCTTCAAACCGAATGTGGGGATTGATGTCTCCACAGTATAACTAATCATTAGTACTCTTGTTGCTTCATTAGTTGTAATTTGGAATAACCAGTGGTATTCAGTATCTATTTGCTTTGCTGGTAGTAAGCTCGTAGTAGCCCATAGTAACTTCTACTACCCTCTGGCTTTACTCAGCACAAGTAAATAGTAATTTATAGGGATCTGTAGTAAAGAAATTGCAGATTATGAATTGTCATGCTTTATAATTAATAACCTGTATTTTTACTATTGGTCTTATTACTTACATCGTTACTGTGTGTTGTTGCCATGAGCATCACAGTATTAACTACCACTGATATTAATGCAACACTGCACTAGCACAGCAATATGCATAATTATGTTTATAATTCATTAATATAGATATGTATTACTAATAACCATTTGTGCTGTAATATTACTGTAGTCTTATTGCTCAAAATGTATTACTGTTGGTTTGTGTTACCACTAATATTACTATTTTAATTACTGCTGGTGTTACTACATCAGGGTTACTAATGGTAATCTTCATTCTTACTATTAGTCTGTATTCTTATTATTGGTCTGTGTTATTACCACTACTATCCCTGTATTAATTACCACTGTTAATACTACTCTGTGATTATTAGTAGAAATAATCTACTAATAATCCATGATTTTTGCTTCTAGCCCGTATTAGTACCACTGATACTATTGTTAGTGCTGATAGTGTTTTATACTACAGTGGCAGAAGGCAATAATGGTCACTAACAGCAAAGGTAATTTATGGGAATAGTAATTTATAGTCATTTTAATAAGTTCATGGAAACAAAGGCACCAGTCCTTGTGCCCGGTGGGATCCACAGCTCTGGAGCTGAACCCCTGGCAATGAAGGAGGGCTCAAAAAACAAAGTCACTGTCTACCCAAAATGAGACAATATTTCTTTATTCAGTTATAAATCTGTTATATTACATATACTCATGTATTATATTACATTACACAATATCATATGTTAGTGTATCATATCGTACTATATAATTTCAGGTTAATAGAGATGTGTATAATAAAAAAATGTAAATATTATCTATTTCTGCATCTAATACAAAAGATATTATTATTGCCTATTTTTGTGAGTGTCATGTATATTTATGTCACTGCTGGAATTGTGCATTGACAAGTAATATACATATATTTGCTTTATTCTTGTAATATATATATTATTGCCTTCCCAGTGGTAATTTTGTTGTGACTTGTGGCGGACAGAAAGTGGTCTAACAGTGTTCTGTTCTAGTCTGATTCCATTATATTATCAAATTATACCATTATATCATTAGATTGTGTCATATGGTTTTATGTTAAGATCCGTTTTCTGTATAATATTGTATGTGATATAAAACATACGATTATTCTCTACATGGTCTAAAATGATGGAATTATTCCCGGTTTGGGGTGTGATGTAAAATATTACACACGGTTTGAACACAGCAAAACACAAACACATAATATGTTGCATTTACGCCTTATTTATTAATAAAAACGCGATTGATCCTCCTCTTGTATTTCCCGTTGTCTCAGTTTGGGGTTCCACGTGCTGGGATGGGCATGGGCACGGCTGGATCGGGGCACAGCTGGGTGGGGTGGGAAGAGCTGGGTGGGGCACAGCTGGGCGGGGCACGGCTGGGTTTGGCAGGGGCACAGCTGGCCGGGGCACAGCTGGATGGATCCCAGCTGGCTGAATGGGCAGTGCCGGGCAGGGAGAGCGTGTGCTGGGGCGGGTCCACATCTGGATGGGCGGGTCCACATCTGGATGGGCGGGTCCACATCTGGATGGGCGGGGCCACATCTGGATGGGCGGGTCACAGCTGGATGGGGCAGGGGCTCAGCTGGGCGGGGCCGGGGGCCGGGGCGGGCTCGGGGCGGCTCCGGGGCTGAGCGCGGCACAGGCGGGCGGGCGGCAACCGGAGGCCACGGTGAGGGGCGCGGGGCCCGCCGGGGGATGCCCTCCCAGCCCTCCCCGGACGGTAACTGGGCGGGCGCTGCCGGGACTCGGAGCATCCTGGGGGGCGGGGGGCTGCTGGCCACCTCCCTGCCCTATACCCCCGCCCTATAGATGCCCAGCCCCCCGCCCTGTAGCCGCCCACGTCCTTTGTCCCGGCAGCCCCCCAGCCTCTGCCCTATAGATGCCCCAACCCCCGGCCCTGCCCTACAGATGCCCCAGCCCCCAACCCCATAAGCCCCCAAGCCCTTGCCCTATAGGTGTCCCAGCCCCTTAACCCCCCCGGCCCCTGCCCCACAGCTGCCCCAGCCCCATAAGCCCCCAGGCCCCTGCCCTATAGGTGTTCCAGCCCCTTAACCCCCCCGGCCTCTACCCTATACCTGCCCAGCCCCCGAACCCTGGCCCCTGCCTGCTCCTGCCCCGTGCCCACCCCGGGTGGGGGGTGTTGGTCGCCCCCGGGGTCTCCTCCCTCCCCATGGGGGGCTGTTTTTGGGGTGACCCCCTGCTGTGGGTGACGTGCCCGTGTTCTCCAGGCGCTGCCCGGGCGGTGGGTCCGGATGCCCGCAGGATGGTGCTGGTCCCCGTTGTGGCGCTCTGGGCTCTGCTTCCCCTCCTCGCCTGGGCAGGTACCCACCGGCAGCGGGGTAGGGGGTCTGGCCAGACCCCCCCTCTCCCCGGGGACCCCCCTTTCCACACCCTTTTTCTCCCCTGCGTGAGGACAGCAGAGCGGGGACCCCGAAGGCGCCAGGGAGGCTGCGGGCAGGG